AAATTATTTTAATAGTGGTCTGTTTATGTTATAGATGGCACTACAGAAGGTGTTCAATAGCAATCCCATAATACTTAATTAATTAATGAATTATCTGGGAAAGAGCTTTCCCAGTGATGGCATTATTCCATTGCATGATAAACATAGACCATCATTCTAGCAGGCTGGGCAACTATTAAGAGCAAGCTTTGCTATGCTTACTGGCTTTTGTCTATTAAGAATTTTAATTTAACTATAAATAACAACGTCAACACCTAAATTGAGAAGGATCAAATTAGACCTTTACACCTAAAATAAAAACCGCAGACCAGTTAGTATAGTATATCATTTAGTATAAATGTTAAGTAGCAACTCAACTGGCAACATTTTGATTCCATGCTTAAAAGGATGTAATTACTTTTATTAAAGAGTTTGGAAACACTTTATATGTGTAAATCAAAACAAAAGAAGCAGGAAATACCGGTGGTCCTTCACTATGCAAAATTGGCAGGTTACTGTTTTCAGCTAAGAGTGTTCTCACAGGTTGATACGAATGACAGTATCAGATTTGGTTACTCTTCACACTTCTTGGAATCAAGATCAGAGGTGCAGGCTCAAGAGTTCTCATAGATTTTTTTTGTTTTGTGGCAAACAGTTCTTTAGTTCACTTGTGCATTCAGACATGCTCGTGTCCATTTAAAAAGGCGGTGGTGAAAAGGAAAGAGAAAAAAGTCATGAAAATACCATATTGATTTTAGTGACACACACTATCCATCATAAACATCCAGCATACAGATTCACATCTTAATGCACTTAGTTACCTCTCTCTATAGGACAGTCTTTGACTCAGGTCCTAGGCTGGCCAGGTTTTTATTGTGAGATGTCTATCTTGAAGCTGGCAGAGGAAACAATGGTAAGACTGGGTTATGTATTTCTCTCTGTGCAGCACAAGCACACCTTTTGCTTGAAAAAAGAGGGTTTGTCCCTTCTTTGGGGACAAAGCTGTATTTTTCTCTAGATGGATGAACAGTTCTCTTTTCCTGGGAACTATTTCCAAAGAGAATCACTTCCAACAGGTTATAGAAAAATATTAACTTCCAAATCTGCCTGATTCCTTCAGGTGAGCAACTCTGTGTTTGCCTGTTAAAGTGAACACTTTTGGAGGGTATCATGTCTATCCATCTGCATAACCCTTATCTTGGGGAAGCGTGAGCTACTCTTTATTCATATGCCCTTCTGCTCAGTTCTCTTCTGTTTGCTTTCTGTAAAAAGGGGACAAAATAGTTTTTCCACCTGAGATTGTCAATCACCAAATTCTAGTATTTATGGTCTGATTATAAAATGTACTGAAGTTTTACTTTTCCTTCTAACTTTCATGAGGGCTTAAGGAATTTTGAAAATTCAAGCTCTAGATTGCCTAAACTGGACAGACAAAATTGATGTACAGAGTTGCTTTGTTTGTTTGTTGAGGTTTGTAGTAGGGTTTTCTTGCCACAACCACCTTGCCTAAAGTTACAGAGGCAGGTGATGTTAAAGTCAGTCAGTACTCAAACACTGCCTTAAGAAAGACGTCACAGTTTGAGATCCAGACATCTGGTCATCATTAACCATCACTGTTCACACATGATATTTTACTTAGACTGAACCAACAGGCAGACAGTAATTTATATCCTGTAGCCAGTGGGAAGAAGTCTGGTAAAATGTACAAGTCACTATGAACAGAAATCTCTAGCAGGTTCAGCTCTGGGGTGAGGAGACATTTAAAAAAGGAAGTCACTCCTTGGTGATTTTCCTGGCTTACAATAAGGAGGCTCCGCCTCAGCTCATCAGAGAAGTGGTGTTAAGGTACCTTTGCCACTGAATGTTGGGCTGTATGTAAAGATTTTGCAACATAAATGTTGAGCTTCTTTGCAGTTTTCTTTGCTGTTACTTATTATGTCTATCCTATAAAATTTTCTGTGAAAAAAAAACTTACAGCATTACTTCATTCAATTGCAGTTGGCATTGTGAAATGTTAGATTAATAGCTGTCTGGCAATCAAACACCCCAAGAGTTTTCCTGTGTGTTTCCGTAATTTTGCCAAAGATTAAAATGTCATCACTGCCACTGGGGACATTGGGAACGCACTGAGTTATTCGGTGGTTTATACTTTGAAAAGTTTTAGAAGCTAAAAATATTTCAAATGTTCATTTCTTGTACTTGGTATTTCAAAACTTCATGAATTCTCTTCCTGAACTCAGGTTAATAACTGATGAAAGATCATTAATTTAGCAGACCTCCACTTCAGAGGTTCTATTTCAAACTTTAGCTCCTTGTATCCATACCTTTATAGTTTTTCCTAGTCTTCAAGAGCTTTCTGAACTTGTACAAAGTTTAGGAAAGTCTCTGATACCGCTGCATGCTAGGGCAGAAGGATTAAACAGTGAGACTGATAAAGTGATCCTGTGAGATCAAAGAAGATGTGGGTTTTTTGGATGACATTGAAACTGAAAGTGTTCCACAATTCTGGAAAAAGGGAAGGGAAGGGGAAGAGGAAGGGGAAGGGGATAGGGAAAGAGTAGGGGAAAGAGAATGGGAAGGGGTAGGGGAAGGGATCCTCCTGTTATCTTTCAGCATTAAGAAAATTATGAAAGTATAACAAGCCAGGTGGGGGAGCAAATTAAGGCATTTTTGTTTTCAGTTCTAAGAAATGTCAGTGCAAGATGTAATGTCTCCATAAAGTTCTTCTCTACTTAACCCATACTTTTGCTTCTGCAACCGGAACATCAGTAGGGTACCAGGTGTGCAAACTGGCATGAGGTGACAGGCTTGTATAGAGGTTTTTGCTTTGCTGCATTTCCAGGGAAGCAGTTCATGGCTTTCCTTGTTTCAGCTAAGCACTGAATAAAGCCTTCAGAATTTGCTCCCTTATCCATTACAGATAGAAAAGCCTCAAATGCCTCAGGTTCTGATCAGTTTCAATGATTTTTGCTCATAAACTATGTCCTAATTTCATTAATATTTTTCATTAATTCTTTTGGGGACAATTTTGCTTGTGCTTTATCTTGTTCTCCATGCAGACAAAATAGCCATTGAAATCAATTTTGTTCCACTTCTCAGTGTTTTCTCTGTCTGACAGCTGGATAAAATCTCATTGAGCTTGTGGACATGCAGGCTGTCCTTCAGTTGTGATATACATAAGAAGCAATTCTCTTGCCAGTGTGCACCTATGTGTACACAGACAGCAGAAGCACAGCAGATGCAGACAGCTACAGTCAGAAGATCACTTGCCAAATAAACTCAAGAAAAAAAAGATCTTTCTGGATACTGTACTGATGAAAACCTACCCCTAAAAAAAAACCAAACACACACACACACAAAAAAAAGGCACAAAAAACTAGTCACCTCCGGTGACATTTCTGCATTTTTTGATGTTTTTGTAAAATGAGATTTGTTTCAAAGAAACGTGATTATTATGATTAATGTTGCCTTCTCATAGAAGCAGAAACAAGTAAAAAGGCACCAAATATTGACAAACAGCTCATATGAAAAGAACCAAAGGATATTCGTATCACAGAATTTTCTTTCCCTGCTATTGGTCACTTTTTATTTTTATTTTGAGTTTTAGCTTATTCAGTGTCAAAAGACAGCACATTTTTAGTCAAAGAAACCAATGCACTTGATGACAAAGAAGACATTAAGGAGTCCAGCTTAAGAGTTAACATCAGTAATTTTACTCTGAGCACAAGTGTTGTCCCCAAAACAGATATTATTAATGCGAGTTATTCAAAATAAAATCAAAATCTGATTAAAAAATTATACGATGGAATTGTAGTTTACATAGAAAGAATCAAGTAAGATTTCCATCAAACTTGGTGATATGCTGGAAGAAACCCCAAAACTTTAGTTTTCATTTTGAAACAGTTTTCTTCTGATTTATATTCAAACTCACTGCATGACTGTCAGAGTCCTTCATGTGTCTTCATCCTGCATTTCCATTCCTCATCAAAGCATGAATTTTTACAAGATTAATCTTCAGTATAAAGAACATGCAAAAACATTTTTTCAAGTAGCAGGGAAATATAGGTAAGCCAAGGTACTCCAGCAGAAACTATTAACTTTCAGCATCCTTAACACTAATTAGCTTTAAGGTAATTGAGATCAGTTCATGTCTCACTGGGACAAGAACCTTATTTTTTTTGAAGTCTGTCATCAAAACTTCTATCTGCAGCGAGAACTCTGTGAATTGAATGGGATTCCATCTCACTTTCTGTAGGCTGCTGAACATATTCTTTATAATTTTAAATTTAAACCTCTCTGGGATAGTCTCATGAAAATAGAGTATTTCATTGGCTGCATAAAGGAGTAACAAAGCTGTTACCCCTTTCTGGTCAATTATATCGATTGTGATTCTGACATTTTCAAATGTATTTCTCCATTTACTCCAATTATACTAAGCAGATTGTTAAGAAGATTGTCCTGGACTTTGAAAGACGTGCAATGAGCCAGCTCACTTGTAGTTGTGTCAAAGTTAATTAATTTTTCTAAATCTAAAATGACCAGGGATGCATTCTGCTTTCTGTTTTGAATTAAAATCACTTTTTCACTGCCGTGTTATTCCTAGTTTGTATTGATTTTAGGTTCAAAGAGCATTAACTTCAATTCTAAATTTTCTTTTAACCTGTAGAGAACATGGAGGCATCACAAGCTCTGCTTAGAAATTTCCCCAAGGGGCTCATCCAAAGCTTAACAAAACATTTCAGTAACTTAATTTCACTTGATTTCTTTGAAGAACTTTCTCTTTTATCCATCAGGTTCAATTTTTTGGGAATGCTTTTATTCAAGGGCAAAATATCCCAAACCTAGAGTAATAATCTTTTAGATGGAATTATTTGAATATTTGCAAATCCCCCAAAGCAAAACCAGAAAAGAAAAAAAAAAAAGAAAAAAGAAAAAAGCTAAGTAGATATTTAAGAGTAGTTTTCATTTAAAAAGAAATAAATCTGTGGTGGGTTAGCCTTCACTGGCAACCAAAATTCCACCCAGCTGCTCAGCTATTCACCTCTCTCAGCGTGGTGGGGGAAGAAAATAGGAAAAACAAAAACAAGAATGTTCCCGTGTTCACATAAGGACAGGGACATCATTTATCAGTTACCTTTGTGGACAAACTGGGGAAAATTAAACTAAATTATTGTCAATCAAAGTAAAAATATAATTGAAAAAAAAAACAACAAACTTGAAAACAACACTTCTCCTCCTCTTTTTCCCAGGGTTAACTTCACACCTCCAGTTCAGGGCAGCTTAGGGGGTCGCAGTTGGCACTCAGCAGTTTCTCTCTGCAGCTCCCTCCTTCTCACATCTTCCCTCTGCCCCAGCGTGGGCTCTCCATGGTGGCAGCTCCTCTGGGAATGGCCACATGCTATGACATGGAGTTCTGCACGGGCTGAGGTGGATGCCTGCTCTGGTGCCAGGGAATACCTTCTCCTTCCTCCTGCTCCTCTGACCTTGCCTCTTTTATTTCTCTTTTTGTTCTCTCTTCCTGTCTCCATTTGGCACTTTCAGGCTCTCCTTTTTATATGTGACTCTGGGACCCAGCCATGCCCTGGAGAGGGTCAGATGGAGTTGGCTGGAACCAGCTGTGTCTGGCATGGAGCAGATCCAGCCACTCTTCACAGAGACCACTTGACACCTGCAGCCAATACAAATGCAAACAAAATATTTAAATCAAAGTTTACCCTCTGGGCCAGTTCTTGGCTTCTGTGGTTTTTTTTTTGCACCTGCAGTTAATTTTGAGCCAGTGAGATCTGTAGCTGAAGTGGTATGGATGAGTCATCACAGTCAACCTTCCAGCTTGTACCAGGAGCATTCTTTTCAGGGAGCAAATTTAGGGATAACCCCAATTTACTGTGCCATGGTTCACACGGTGGTGCAGACTCAGAATACACAAACCAGGTTCCCTGCAGCAGCACCTCACCCACAAGGGAGGCCTCAGGGTGCCCCTAGGCTGGGACAATCCCAGGCACAGCTCTGGATAGGGCTGAGCTGGTCTGAGACCAAAATGCACAAGTGGGGCATGGGCAAGGCATGAGCGCGGGCACAGGCACAGACATGGGCAGGGCATGGGCATGGGGATGTCTGTCCACACCAACTGCTTTGCTGCCTGCCATGCTGCACCTCTTGGCAGTGCACAGATCCACTTACAGAGTGCCAAAAACATTGATATTTGGTCTGGGGTCTGTCACACTCCTCAAAATATTCTGCCCAGCGTGATGTGATGCCTGCTCGCTGGGCTAGATGCAACGAGCTTGACAGTATCAATCTAAAACCAAGTGAGACAGAAGCCATGTGACCAAAAAAAGATAAAAAATACAAGTAGGTTTGACGCAGTAATTACCCCTATGATAGCTCTTTTTAGGTAAGGTACATTGATGATGACAATGTAGGGAAATTTGCCTTTCTAGTACTGTTTTCTGAACAAAATTCCCCACAGCTGTCAATCAGGTCATTTTATACTCACACTAAATTAGCACCATTTATTTTAACAGTGTCTTTTGTACAGTGCTGAAAGGTGAACAATATTTTAATTCAACCTTGAGAATATTCTGGTGTGTTAAAAGTTCCTATATTTGTGTAGTCTTCATTTCTTAACTAAAAGTCTCGGACATTTGAGTTTTGTTTTCTCAGCCTGGTCCTGATCTGTAGACCATAGCCTAACAAGCTCTTTTTATTCTTTTTACTTTAGAATTATAAGTGAATGATATTTTCACTTTGATCACAGTTATAGAGATTTCATTTTCATTTTACTGTGCAGCTGTAAGGTGTTGTCTGCTTCATATAATACGTCATATTTAGATATTTTGTTTTATTAAAACAGCAAATGGTTTTTAAAATGACTCTTGTAGCTCTCCTGCACTGTCAATAAAATGCTGTAAGACTGAGTGATGCATGGGGCCTTGCATAGACTTGTTAGTACTACAGGCAGGTTTGCAAAGAAGCTATGACAACATAAAGCTGAGTATTTCAAAGGTAGTTCTCAGGCAAATGACTTTCTTGTCAAAGAGGAGCTACAAAATACAGTGTGCTGAAGCAGGGTGTGCCAGGAAATGGTCACTGAGTTCAAGGATGATTTTAAATTCCAATCCATCGTGGAAAGAGAGAAGGCTTGGATTTCCATTCCTATTCCAGTGACTTATTTTATCTAATAATAATCAGAGTTACTGCTTCAGGCAAAGACTCTGGCCTGTGTTTCATCTTTCAGTGCCCTGATCCCTTGGCTGAAACCTCAGGCTCCCCGAGAAGCAATGAGAAGCTCTTTCAAGAAGCAATAGCATGCTCACTTTTCTCCTGCCTGTCCCACATTAAATGAGCTATTTTTGACACAAAACCATGAAAGGTGGCAAAACTTCTGTGTCACAAGAAAGGCCCTCTCAAACTTGCCTGTAATCTACCATGAAGGATGCTCTGAAAAGTATTGGTCATGTGGGTTCCAGACCTGGAAATGCAACAGAGGCTTCCTAACTCTTTCAGTTCAGAAAGGCACAGTTTTGGGAAAACAAAACCAGGAAGTAATCACTTACATGATTAGATTTATAATAGATGGATGTGATTTTTTAATTATTGTTTTAAAATATTTCAGGTTTGCTCAGGTCTTTTGTTTTCTTTCTTTTATTACTGTCAGGTGATCTGGTCTCATAAAATGAGCTGAACTATTACAGTGAGATTTACACATACTATGTTCAGTCAAGTGTTTAACTCTTCTGTGCTTGCCACGTTCTTCTCAAGCCATCCAAATGCCTAGATGGTGGGTTTTACGAGCTTGAAATTCTCTCAGTGTCTGAGCTTTCACCATCTTTGTGCACAGACGCAGACACCTTTGACTCACTGAAGCTACTTGTTGAGCCCAGACCTCCTTTCAGAGACAGAATCTGGCAGTAACATCTGTTTCCTGAGGATTCCCACAAGCACACTTGGCACGAGCTGTAAGTTGGACCACCCTGGGCTCCATAACCTGTTGGTTACTGTATTGTACAACCTCTGCTTCCTGAAGTGCCTGAGCTCTTCATTGTCTCAGCTTAACCACTCTGTCCTCAGCTGAGCTTTACATAACTGCATGGGAGACAGGCTTGTAAGATTAACAAAGTTTGGTAAAGTCTCAGAGGTATCAAATCAATCTGGAAGTACTTTAAATTTGTAACTTGAGAAGACTCTTCTGTCTGGTCTCTTGATTAGAAAAAATAATGTATATGGAAAGTTTAATTTGTGGGGGCTTTTTTTTTGTTGTTATTGTTTTTTTCAGTGAATGATCAGATTCCATTCCATACCATTTCATCCAGTCTTTATTGAAAGGTCTTTATATGTCTTTTTATCAGACATACAAATTGGATAATGTCAGGCCTCTCTGTAAAAAGTGAAAGAAATGAGTGAGCCTTTGCTAGTGAGCAAACCCATTCAATCAGCTTCTGTTTAGAAGCAGTTTTCAACATTAGCAACTGGATACCACCCATTAGCATGACTTAGTGCAGCTGTGAAATGCTGCCAAACTTATGTAATACAATTATTATGTGGCAGCATTGCATAAAATAAACCAGGGCTGCCACTGTAAGCTCTCATTTGTAACAATTCTGTTTTTAAGAGCTGATGAAGACCATCAGACAATTCTGTGGTAAAGGTAGATCTGGGAAAGCTCAAAGAGTCCCATGAGGATAAATAAAAAATTGCAGTACAAGACATCTTATCAAATTTATAGCCTGTCGCATTTTCTGTGTTGGTTCTTGCTTTCCTGGAGAAAATGACAAAACATTCCTTTCTCTGCAATTAAATAAACATGAATTCTCAATATTTGCATGTCAGAAATCAGGCTACAGAAACTTATTGTAGTTCTCTGCTGACTATTCTGATAAAAATAATGCACAAAACTTATTGATTTAAATAAGATAAACTTTCTATTAGTCTAATCCTCTAATCAAGAAGTAAAAAAACAGAGATGATTTCTTTTAAGTTATGGTAAGGGTTTTTTATACAAGAGCCAGGAGACCATAGACTGTATGTGTAAACAGACAATTCAGAACAAACTTACCTGATTATGACTTTAAATAAAGATCTGTGAATCCAACCAGGACCTCAGAAATGATCCTCAGAATACTGAATTGTGTTAATCCACAAGATATTTACAATGCATGTGCTTCCAAAGTCTCAGACAATTCTATGAAATTCTAACATTTAAATATGTGAACTTATTTCCCCCACATTAATGTAATAATACAAGGTATATTGTTTCCTCACCTCATTCAAGGTTTTATGTTTTTTATGGACATATTTTGGAAGCTTTGCTTAGGACAGATCCCTGCTACTGCAATCAAATCTTAATCTGTAGACAGATAAGTGGAGTTTTAAGTGGAGCTTTATTCCCCCTCTCATTATTTTTTAAGTCTTTCCTTGCAGACCTTGTGTCTTTCACCGTTCACTTAACTACCAGATACCACCTGCAAAGACAGATGAACTAATAAAAAAAGTTCATTCAGTATGTTCTTTTGAGCCAAGTCACAACATTTCTCTTCTTTTGCTTTTCTCCCTTTTTTTTTTGATCCCTACTAAAAAACACTGCTAGCTGAAGCCTGTATCGTTTGATTCTGTGATTTTATCCCTCATTAGTAGGTTATTTAAAGCATTCTTCTTTCAGGACAGCATTTTATCTCACTGAAACTTTTCACTTCTTTACTGGAGAAGTTCTTCGCAGCATACTGTCTGCACTACCCTCAGGTGTTAAGAGGCAGAGAGGTGAGGAATCAGTCACCTTGTGTTGGAGTGTCACATCCTGTATCTTATATTTTGTTACACTGGGTTTCTACCCCAGCTATAGGGTGAGCAGGATCACTTTTGATGGTGTTAGACCTTACAAATTCTTAGATAACCCACTTAATTTTAAGGACACACTACAGGGAGCTCCAGAGGTCAAAAACCAGATAGTTTCTTTGTTAGACCCAAAATATTTCTGGAGCACTGCTACATTCTTCCTAAAAATACCACACAACTTTTAGATGAAAAGCTAAGTACTGGCTGTGGAGCTCTTTCTACAGTCAGTTTGTCAAAAAGGTTCTGTGTTCTTTGTGCAAACCCCTATTATTGAGCAGATGTGATCTCAAGAGTTTGCTGCCACCAGAAGGTAGAAAAGTCCTTTTCCACCTTGCCCTGAGGCTATAGGGTCATGCCAGTTAACTTTTGCCACTTATGGACCACTGTGTGAGTCAGTTTAAGTCACTAAACAACAGGAACAGGATGTGGATTGATTTCTGCTGGATCAGTGAGCTCAGATTAGGAAAGAAGCACAGCAACCTGGGCAAGGGCAGAGATATTTAATGTCCTTATTTGATAGGTGAAAGGAAAAACTGGACTTAAAGCAAGTTCAGATCAGCCTAGAATTTTTCACAATTGTTTGTGAAAGAATTGAGGTGCTAATTTTCTCCTGCTCAAAAAAAAAAACCAAGATGACAAAAAAACTATAATGAGGATTTGGGGCTTTAATTTTCTGTAAGGACTCCTGAAACACAAAGTCTATCATGTGTTTAGGCAGAATTCAAATGAGATGCAGAGAAAAGGAGGGTTACCATGGAGTTATATATACTGTGTCATCATCATCACCTGGATGCACTTATTTCCCCATTTGAAGTCCATACTGTATGAGTTCTGCAA